ACTGTGTCTGTTCCTGCCTTCCTCGGCAGAGTCCACAGGAGACAGGCAAGAAGATTGGAGCGGTTTTCTCACAGGTCTGCAATTCTGTTTTTCTCCAAGTACATCATGACCCCCTCATCCTCCTTTTGAACTGGAGAGGGGAAGAAGTGAAAGGCATGCCCACTTCCATCACCTCCCGCCCCAATTCTCTAATCTCCACCCTGAATGTCATGAGCTTTTATCATTAGTCTTGGAACGAGGGACTCCGGTTCTAGGCTGGTGTGGATAGCAAAGGAGGGGGTGAGACCTCATTTGTCTCTCTCCTGTCTCTTTTCCAGGAAGCTGTGGAATTGTTGGAAGAAGAGTTTTCAGAAAGTCAGGACTGGGCAGATAGTTGAGTCCTAATCTCTGGGTGTACATCATTGCCTCCCATACCAAACTTTTTTCTTTACGGTGTTCCTCCTCTTTCCCACTTTGCAGTCCCGTGGACTCAGGCCCACTGTGCCTGGGCTTCTCTGCTCTCCATCAAAGAACTTCCATCTTCCTTTTGTGGCCCCTCTCACTTTTGCCCCCAGTACTCAGCAAGTTTCTTGCAACAAATGATTAGTTCTTCTCTTCTGACTTGTGGGGCTCCCTGCCACAGACAGCACAGCTCTTGCCCAGCTGAACCCCACCCCTGCTTCATCTCAGTTCTGCATGGGCTTCGCTCTTCCCACTCGTGGAAGGGAGGCAGCTCAGGGACCACCAGTGTGGGGCCCTCTTGAGACACTGCCACTCTGATTCAGAAACACACTCCTACCTCTTTACTGTTAACTCCTACAGATGCAGCCAGCAGTTTCTGGGCGCTTCTCTCAGCAGGTGCCTCATACTGGCTTCTCCACTAGGGTTTCAGGACAAACTACCGAGGAACCGCCTCAGCCTCTTCCCAGTCCTCCCCCCGTCCCCCTTCTGTCTAGAAATCACTTTGGTTTATCATCAGGAACTGAGCAGGTCCAAGACCCAGCCTTCTGCTTCAGCCCAGGCCAGTACTCTTCCTTTGAGGTGAAAGCCTTATAATGTAGCTCCCTGGCCCTTGATTGGAAGCAATGTGGAGTGAATAAGCATGTTTTAATTTAGGCAGGCTAGTTTGGGATACCTTTAAAAAAAAAAAAGACAAAACCAGATATAAAGGTGTCTGGCAAGATTAGAATCAGAGTAGGTGATTTGCTTCTAAAAATTAGTTTCAGTGAGTCCCAGGGACTAATTAAGGTTTACTTTTAAAAGCGTCCCCTTGGTACGCAGCCGCCTCCTGCATGCTGTGCATGTTATTGGGACTCGTATATAGGAAATGGTATGTGAGGATCCAAACAGGGCTCTGCTGCCATTCTCCTTGTCGTCTCTGATCTTCATCACTAGACCCAGCAACCCTCAGCCCTCCCTGCCACCTTCCCTGCATCTTTCGTTTACAGAGGCAAATGGACCTCTGGCCACAGAATATAAAGTCTTGGGCTGTTAGAAGAGTCGCCTCCTCTTTGCCTGCTCTTTCCTGTCCCTTCCTTGAATACTCTCCCCCATTAGTGATGCTGGGAAACTCATAGGACAGGCAAAGCAACTATTTAAAACCTTATAACTGGGGCCTTGCCCCTCCTCCCCTCACTTCTTCCTTCCGTCCTATTCCTCTTTTCTTCTTCCTTCAATGCCCTTCCTACCCACAAGGAATTTTCCTATCACTGTGAACTTTGCTGGTGCAGAGGAACATTTGCCTTCACCTTTTTTTTTTTTTTTTGGACCATAGACACCCAGCCATTTCTTAAACCTCCCCAAAATTTAAAAAAAGAAAAAAGTCCATATTGGCCTGGTTCAAAGGATAAGAATAGCTTTATCCTACTCAGTACCAAACCCACTTCAGTACCCTTACTGAGGCCATGAGAGCCTAGGGGTTTCTGCCCAGGACAGGAGCCACGGCATGTTGGCAGAGACCAAACGGGGACCAGGAAAAGGGGTGATGTTCCCTTCCCCCACCACCTCCAACCTCTGTCAGCATGAGCTGCCTTGAACAGTGGCAGGCAACTCCCCCTCTGCACAGTAGCTGGTCAGGGTTGAGTGCAGTCCTGGGCGCCAGGGGATAGCATGCCCAGTTGTGTCAGCTCAGAGGATCTGTGCACATCTTAGAGATGTGAGAGGTAGGGAAAGGAATAACAATGAGGTTTTTTCCCTCACCCTTTTACAATGGCATTTTGTTAATGGAAATCTGGGAAGCAGGTGTGATTACTTCTTTTGCTCGTAGATATTGTCCTAAGTTGAAATTCTCTCACTGCCCTAAACTTTCCCCTAGTAGCCCTTTAAGTCTCCACCCCCCTTCTTTTTGGTAGCTGTTTTCTCCACCCTCTCTCCACCTCCTCTCTTATCTAGGAGCTGTTTTTAAGCACGATTTTTTTTTAACAGTTTATATTGTACAGGATCAATATTTTGCTTTTTAACAAGGATATTTATGTAATAAGAAACTTTGCCTTAGGCAGGTGTTGGCCAGAAAAGTCCAGATTCCTCTGGGACCCCACCCTGGCCTCTCCTGGAACTCTGAACCTGCTGTGGAAGGAATTGGCTGTAACCTCACCACTGGAGAGTAGGGTCTGTGGCGAGGGAAAGGGGTGTACTGGTGTGACAGGAGAAGGATCCACCATCATAATCTAGTGCCTCTATGGAGGGGTTTGGAAGAAGCATTCCAGTTCAGTTTCTTCGGGTGTGAGCTTCCTTCCTTAGCGGGTTCTCCCCATTAGTGCACCTCTCCACCTCCTACTGTTTGGCACTAGAACTCCTGAAACACCACTTCTCATACACCTCCCTCCCTCCTTCCCAGTGGTCAAGGCTTTGGAGCCACTCTTTCGGAACGCCAGATTATTTAAAGAGAGAAAAATACAAGACAAAACCTTCTAGCACTTTGTAAACACAGTGAATAACCTCTTGGAGTATTTTTGGCTTTATATAAAACAAGGTTTTTAATTGTAAAATATAAGTGCCATTAGAAAATGCACAGGGCCTATCTTTGTTAAAGTAGATTTTTCAATGTTTTGCAGAATTACATTTTCAAAAAAAAGTTTTTATAATGAAGTTGTTTATTAAAAACTTCTGAATGATGTGTTTGGAAGTTGTGAACCTGTTTCATTGGGAAGGGGTAGGAGAGAGCTTGAAGAAGAACTGGAATCCAGACATCTTTAGCATCCAAGGGGATGATGAGTATAGGGCAGACAGTAACAACCTTTCACATTAGCACCTACAAACTTTGCACTTTGATATTAAAGATCTTTGAGGTAAGTGGCATCATGCCACCACTTAATATTTTTGGGTGCAAGAGTCAGAAAAACCAAATTGGCTTAAATGGTGAAATTTCATGTCACTGAAAATGCCAGATGAAGTGCAGTCTTGAGGTTAATATTGATCCAGCAGCTCAAACATGGTTGGCCTTAGCATTCCTGTGTTTGCCCTATCTTGTGCAGTTGTGACTTCATCCTCCAGCCCTTCAAAATGGTTTGTGCCTTTATGTAGGAGAAGAATGCTGCCATAATTCCAGTCATTTTCACACAGTGCTGACCACAAATGGAGAGGGACCCTTTCTGGGAGAGAGGAGTCCTTTATTCACGTAAGCGTCTCCTGCCTCGTTGGCCATGATGGCATTCTGTGCCATCCCAAAACCAGTCACTATAGGCCAGTGATGACGAGGCTGAGACAAGGGTTGGAGTAGTTTCTCAAAGGAAATTTGGGGTAGTGTTGGGATGAGGAATGGATGCTGGTTGTCCAAGAAAAAAATGTCATCCATTGCCCAAGGCGCACAGCTGGTAAGTGACAGAGCTAGGACCTAACCTTGACCACACTCGTGCCTACCCATTTGGTTCAGACAGACTCTTGAAAGGCCATTATGGCTTCACCTGATGTTGCTTGGCCAGTCTCCAGTGAAGGTAGTCATCACTATTCCAGGCCCCATCTGAACTGAGATCCTCCTGTCCAGGGCTCAGACTGAGCTTGCTTTTCTGGGGTCTGGAGCCAGTGTTCATAGCCAAGCAGTGCAAATCACTCCAGAGACCAGCCCAAGAATTTATGGGACGTTAAGTGTTAATGTGTGTAACAGGTGCTTTATGTACAAAGGCAGTGGGCTGGCTGTTCATCTCTTTGGCCTTCTGTTTACTTGACTAACTGTCCACCCCAGTGGGTTGGATCCCTGCTAGGGCCCCAAGAGAATCCACCTTGCCCTCTAGGGGATGCATACCCAGGAGTGGGTCTGGGGGCTCAAAGCTATCTTTTCCATTGGATGGGAGGAAGCTGAAGGCCTTCTGGAGGAGGTGGCAAGGACTTCCAGGTGAGCGGGTGGGGTATTGGGTGTGTTGACCTCCATGGGCCACAAGTTTGGGAGCTGAGATCACAGGAGTGCAGGTGCACTTGCAGGATCAGGGCTGCAGGGGCTGGTCCATCCAGCCTCTTACCATCTGTGCACAGACCCTGCACTTCAGACTAGAGTTCACATTTGTGAAATGTCTGGAGCAGAGAAAGGGGTAGCCCCTAGGCCTAGGACGAGGTGAAGCCATGTCCACCCTTCAGCCTGTCAGCCCAGGACTCGTTCAGGGAAACCAGGCAGAGGCCCACTTGCTTCCTGGTCGGCAGCATTTGGGATCTTCCCTTGCCCTTAGATCCTTCTACTCAGACCTTGTTTCTGCCTTTCCCCACAAATATTTTGAGCACCTCTGTGTGCCTGACGATTACTATGCAAGTTTCAGTCTAGTCAGCCGCTGCAAAGGATGCCTCTTGAGTCCTCTGCACATGCCTGAGTAATTTATCCTGTGAAAGCTGCCCCAAGCCACAGTCGAGTGTGGGCATCAGCCGACTCCCACCTGTCCACCGCACATGCGGGGAACAGTAATTGCCTGGCGTGGTGGCTCTGGGGTTGGGCCTGATCCTGGGCGCCTGCTCAGAGCTGTTCGCTGCTTGGTACACCCCTGCACTTCACCCCATTTCCACCGCCGACTCCCAGTTCTGTCTGGGCGCCCGCAGTCGCATCCCCACCGGGCAGCCCCCTGCCACTCCACCAGGCGCCTAGTCCCAAGACAGCCGGGGAACCCTTGCGAATCACATCCGTAAAAGCGTCGGGGCGCAAGGGGCGGGGCGAGCCCCGTAGGAGAAAATCGGGCCTCCCTGCCTACTACTCGCGGTCCCGCTGGGGTCGCTGCCCGCCACCCAGCCGCCCCTCTCGCTGAACCCGCAGTATCGCCCGCGCGCCCCGAGCCCCTCCAGGCCAGAGGCTCCCGCAGGTGATGGCGGACGAGGGTGCGGGGGGCCTGGAAACCGCCGCGCGCCCGGTCACCGCGTCTGGGGCCCAAGAGGCTGGGGGACGCGGGTATCCCGACCCCGCAGCCCGCCCAGGGACCGCCCTACCTGCCCCGGGGGGCCGGGAAGCGGCCTCCGCGGCCACTGGCCTGAGCCCAGAAAACGGCCTCTTCGGGGACGGGGGCCCAGAAACCTGTGGCACAGAAGGGTGGGAGGCTCGGGCTGGAGCCGGCGGGAAGGCAGAGGAAGTGACGACTGGGGAGGGCGCCATCTTCATGGAGGAGGCGGAGCGGGAGGTGGGGAAGCAGCCTGGGGGAGAGGAGATGGAGGTGGCCGAGAAGCTGGTGCGGGGGGAGAAGCTGGAGGTGGGAGCGGAGGCGCAGCAAGGCCCGGGGCCCCTGAACTTTGGTGGCCCAGTTGTGGACCCGCTGGAAGCCATCCAGTGGGAGCTGGAGGCCGTGAGTGCCCAGGCAGACAGGGCCTACCTGCGGCTGGAGCGCAGGTTTGGGCGCATGCACCGGTTGCACCTAGCCCGAAGGAGCTCCATCATCCAGAATATTCCTGGCTTCTGGGTCACCACCTTCCTGAACCACCCGCAGCTGTCAGCCATGATCAGCCCCCGAGGCGAAGACATGCTCTGCTACCTGATGAATTTGGAAGTGAGGGAGCACAGGCACGCCAGGACGGGCTGCAAGTTCAAGTTCAGTTTTGGGGGCAACCCCTACTTCCGGAACAAGGTGATAGTGAAGAAGTATGAGTGCAGATCCTTAGGCCGGGTGGTGTCAATTGCAAGTCGCATTTGCTGGCACTGGGGCCAGGAACCTCCAACTCTGGTACACAGGAACCGGGACACCATCCACAGCTTCTTCAGCTGGTTCTCAAAGCACAGCCTCCCGGAGGCCGACAGGGTTGCCCAGATTATTAAAGAGGACCTGTGGCCCAACCCCCTGCAGTACTACCTGCTCTGGGATAGGCCCCACAGAGCCAGGCAAGGCCTAGCAAGGTGGCCCACAGAGGCCCCTCCTAGGCCCTATGGGTTCCAGTCTGGCTAAGTCCTGCCCTGGGACCTGGCCCCTACACAAGACTCCTTTCTGCCTCCTGGGGACCTGGGCTTAGGCCAGCCATGGCACTCTGCTGTCTGCTTTCTGTTCCATGTACTCTGACCCCTTTGGACTTCAGTGGACTCAGCTCCGAGATTGTGGCCTTCATGGCCACGCTCTTCTATTTCCATGTAGGCTCCATGCATCACGTGACTGTCACATGCCACAGTGTCTACCCAAGCACCCAGCGCTGTGGACAGGTACTACCATCATCTTCATGGCCTGGACCTGTCTTTGATCATGGCCTTCCACCCATTTTTTTTTTTTTTTTTGCGGTACGCGGGCCTCTCACTGTTGTGGCCTCTCCCGTTACGGAGCACAGGCTCCGGACACGCAGGCTCAGCGGCCATGGCTCACGGACCCAGCCGCTCCGCAGCATGTGGGATCTTCCCGGACTGGGGCACGAACCCGCGTCCCCTGCATCAACAGGCGGACCCTCAACCACTGCACCACCAGGGAAGCCCCACCACCCATTTTTTACATGGGCACCCACAGGTCATCACTAGGAGGACCAGTGCCTCTTTGAGGCCTACTCCTTCAAGGCCACAGCATGCCAGGCTTCATACTTAATGCTGACCCCACACCTGTCTGTGGCAAGCTGAGTCTTGTCACCCAAGAGGAAGTGGGTGCATTTGGTCAGCCAGACTTGGACATTCCAGGACCTCAGGACCACAGGCCAGGCTAATGGACTGTTGGGCATCTAGCAGAATGGGCATGGGGTGAGGTCAAGGACATGAAGCAGTGGGCAGTGCATTCTTTGTGATCACACTGCTCTTCTTACCCCTGCTACTGACTTTTGAAGGTCTGTGTCCTGCCTGTGTCTGGTCATCGCCCTTCTCATGAGTTTCACCCAGGTTGCCAGCGACCTTGTTGCCTGCTCCCAGGTCTATAAGGACCTCAAGAACTGCCTGTGAACCCAGGTGGGCCACCTGCCAATGCACAAGAGTTCCCCAAACCCCAGGAACTCTGCCACGCTGGCATATCTGGGCATGCACTTAAGGCAGGGGCAGTAATGGAGTCCCTTCCAGAAGCCTACCTTCCTGAGCTCCAGTCACTGGACTCACACAGAACCCAACTCCCCTGTCTCCACTTGTTTTTAGGCGGCCAGCTTGGGGGTGCTGGAGAGGGGGTGTTTCTGGTCGTGAGGCCTTTCTCCACCTGCCGAGATCTCACATGTTTGTTTTTATTTTCTTTAAAGTGATAGCTCAGAAACAAAATAACTGAAGAAGCAAGGTTTTTTACAAACAGCTGAGGAGACAGGCTTTCTTGTTGAATTTGCCTCTCCGATTGTCTCCAGAGAGGGAGGGTTGTCCTCTAGCTTGGCAGAGCTCTCTTTGCCCCCTCTGCTCCAGTGCCCTGTCCCCCTCAGCAACGGGGGGACAGCACAGGGCCCCTGAGCGGAGACACCAGGAGCTCCGGGCCCGCAGGGATAGCACATTGTTTTGTTTCGTGCTGTGTTCTTGGAGACTAACTTTAGCTCCAACTCTACTTTCTTCTCCTTTCGCCGGGTCCAAACCCTCATGGGATCCTGTTAGTACAGGAGCTTAGCCGAGCCCCACTCCTGAGACCCCCTAAGACAGTGTTTTTGGGCTGTCTCCGTCTCATTTTGGGGGAATGACCATACACAGGTCCCTTCCCATGGAAGGGCTTCTCTTCTGCTCCCGAGGACCTGGGGAGACCTTAACACAAAATAAAGGCGGGGGGCTGCTCTCGGCAGGGGCGTGCAAGAGAAGTTGGAGCCAGCTGGGAAGACAGGGATGGAGGAGGGCCTGCAAGGTGCAGGGAGGGGAGCCCCCGAATCTTCTTAACTTTTTTGATTCACCAACTGATCTTTTAATTTTTTAATATTTTTTTCCTTTTATTTTTTTAAATTTATTTTTATTTGATTACTCCAGTTTCTAAAAATTTTGATGGTCAACCCTATTGAGGAAATTTGTAGATTTTTTTTAACATCTTTATTGCAGTATAATTGCTTTACAATGGTGTGTTAGTTTCTGCTTTATAACAAAGTGAATCAGCTATACATACACGTATATCCCCATACCCCCTCCCTCTTGTGCCTCCCTCCCACCCTCCCTATCCCCCCCCTCTAGGTGGTCACAAAGCACCGAGCTGATCTCCCTGTGCTGTGCGGCTGCTTCCCACTAGCTATCTAGTGGGATATATATGTCCATGCCACTCTCTCACTTCGTCCCAGCTTACCATTCCCACTCCCCGTGTCCTCAAGTCCATTCTCTATGTCTGCGTGTAGATTTTTTTAAATTAATTTTTATTGGAGTATGGTTGCTTTACAATGTTGTGTTAGCCTCCACTGCACAACAAAATGAATCAGCCATACACATACAGATATCCCCTCCCTTTTGGACTTCCCTCCCATTTAGGTTACCACAGTGCATTAGGTAAGAGTTCCCTGTGCTATACTGTATGTCCCCATCAGTTGTCTATTTTATACATAGTATCAATAATGTATATGTGCCAATCCCAGTCTCCCAATTCCTCCCACCCCACCCCTTTCCCCCTTGGTATCCATACGTTTGTTCTCTACATCTGTGTCTCTATTTCTGCTTTGCAGATAAGATCATCTATACCATTTTTCTAGATTCCACATATATGTGTTATTATACGATATTTGTTTTTCTCTTTCTGACTTACTTTACTCTGTATAACACTCTCTAGGTCCATCCATGACTCTACAAATGATGCATTTTTATTCCTTTTTATGGCTGAGTAATATTCCATTGTATATATGTACCACATCTTCTTTATCCATTTCTCTGTTGATGGACATTTAGGTTGCTTCCATGTCCTGGCTATTGTAAATAGTGCTTCAGTGAACATTGGGATGCATGTGTTTTTCTGAATTATGGTTTTCTCTGGGCATATGCCCAGTGGTAGGATTGTTGGGTCATATAGTAGTTCTATTTTTAGTTCTTTAAGGAACCTCCATACTGTTCTCCATAGTGGCTGTATCAATTTACATTCCTGCCAACAGTGTATGAGGGTTCCCTTTTCTCCACACCCTCTCCAGCATTTATTGTTTGTAGGTTTTTTAAAATAAATTTTAATTAATTAATTTTTGGCTGCGTTGGGTCTTCGTTGCTATGTGCAGGCTTTCTCTAGTTGCAGCGAGCGGGGGCTACTCTTTGTTGTGGTGGGCGGGCTTCTCATTGCAGTGGCTTCTTTTGTTGCGGAGCACGGGCTTAGTTGCTCTGTGGCATGTGGGATCTTCCCAGACCAGGGCTGGAACCTGTGTCCCCTGCACTGGCAGGTGGATTCTTAACCACTGCGCCACCAGGGAAGCCCTGTTTGTAGGTTTTTTTTGATGATGGCTGTTCTGACGGGTGTGAGGTGATACCTCATTGTAGTTTTGATTTGCATTTCTCTAATAATTAGTGATGTTGAGCAACTTTTCATGTGTTTGTTAGGTCTTCTGCCCATTTTTGGATTGGGTTGTTTGCTTTTTTGATGTTGAGCTGCATGAGCTGCTTGTATATTTTGGAGTTTAATCCTTTGTCAGTTGCTTCGTTTGCAAATATTTTCTCCCATTCTGAGGGTTGTCTTTTCGTCTTGTTTTTGGTTTCCTTTGCTGTGCAAAAGCTTTTAAGTTTCATTAGGTCCCATTTGTTTATTTTTGTTTTAATTTTCATTACTCTAGGAGGTGGGTCAAAAAAGATGTTGCTGTGATTTATGTCGAAGAGTGTTCTGCCTATGTTTTCCTCTAAGAGTTTTATAGTGTCTGGCCTTACATTTAGGTCTTTAACCCATTTTGAGTTTATTTTTGAGTATGGTGTTAGGGAGTGTTCTAATTTCATTTTTTTACATGTAGCTCTCCAGTTTTCCCAGCACCACTTATTGAAGAGGCTGTCTTTTCTCCATTGTATATTTTTGCTTCCTTTGTCATAGATTAGGTGACCATAGGTGTGTGGGTTTATCTCTGGGCTTTCTTTTTTTTTTTAATTAATTAATTAATTTTTACTTTTGGCTGCATTGAGTCCTCATTGCTGTGTGCGGGCTTTCTTTTAGTTGCGGTGAGTGGGGGCTAGTCTTTGTTGCGGTGCGTGGGCTTCTCATTGTGGTGGCTTCTCTTGTTGCGGAACACAGGCTCTAGGCGCGTGGGCTTCAGTAGTTGTGGCACGTGGGCTCAGTAGTTGTGGCTCGTGGGCTCCGGAGTGCAGGCTCAGTAGTTGTGGCACACGGGCTTAGTTGCTCCGTGGCATGTGGGATCTTCCTAGACCAGGGCTCGAACCCGTGTCCCCTGCATTGGCAGGCAGATTCTTAACTGCAGCACCACCAGGGGAGCCCCTATCTCTGGGCTTTGTACTAATTCTGTGAAAGATGACATTGGTAATTTGATAGGGATTGCATTGAATCTGTAGTTTGCTTTGGGTAGTATAGTCATTTTCACAGTATTGAGTTTTCCAATCCAAGAACATGGTATATCTTTCCATCTGTTTGTGTCTTCTTTGATTTCTTTCAAGAGTGTCTTATAGTTTTCTGCATACAGGTCTTTTGCCTCCTTAGGTAGGTTTATTCCTAGGTATTTTATTCTTTTTGTTGTAGTGGTAAATGGGATTGTTTCCTTAATTTCTCTTTCTGCCCTTTCATTGTTAGTGTACAGGAATGCAAGAGATTTCTGTGTATTAATTTTGTATCCTGCAACTTTACCAAATTCATTGTTTAGCTCTAGTAGTTTTCTGGTGGCATCTCTTTAAATTAGAAGAACTCATAACAGAACACTACAATTTTAGAGGTTCCCTCAATCCAGGTATGACTTTGGGTATGTAGAAAGTTTATGCTCTGTTTTACATTTCGCTGCTTTGTTTGTTTGTTTTTGTTTTGTTTTGTTTTGTTTTGGTCGTGCGGTATGCAGGATCTTAGTTCCCCAACCAGGGATCGAACCCATGCCCCCTGCAGTGGAAGCATGGAGTCCTAACCACTGGGCCACCAGGGAAGTCCCTCATTTTGCTGCTTTTAAGTCAGCCCCGATGCATCCCCTTCTCCATTTCCATCCACTGGGGAAATTGAGCTGTCCAGTCCTGCTTGTTGCTTTTAGCTGAGAACATTTACCAAGAATATCAGTGTAATTTTTCTACACCATTTGGAAACCTATGTGGCTATTCATCATTATTATTAAGTTGTTGTGGCTGTTAATATAACCCTGAACTTAGAAGTAGTTTGAATAAGGTTGTTTTGTAGGACTTAAGACTAGAAATTGTTACCATATTCTGTGAGGATAACCTCCGAAAATAAATCTGTAACTCTGATGGTCTTGATGACCTGTGTCCCAGTGGCGGTGTTGTA